CATAACTGAAAAATATTGACCACTTACAGAAAGTCTGGTTTTTATTAGCAAAATATTGGCCACTGATAAAGGACTGGTTGAAATCGTTGTCCACAGCACAGTGATGTGATCACTGACTGCTTCGTAACAGGCAAAGCACTGAGTTCCCAGGCTCTGTGCAGTAGGACTTCACTGCTGCTTAGCTGGTTCTCCTCAGTTGGGTCACGTGTCAGATGTGGCCAATATATTGAGAGGATGTGATGTGCCATTTCCAGAAGAAACAAGCCAAAGGGCCAAAGCTCCTTGCTCCCTTCCTCCACATGGATTTGCCCCAAGCAGTTGACAAGCTTTAGGAACAGTGTAACCTGTGTGACACACACACTCCTATTCCAACCAGTTTCCCATCACCCCGAGGGAGTGTGATCAACTGGTTATCACTTTGGCTCATCATTATCAGTGGCTGAATCCGTCTCTGGGGTAAAGGAATTCCTAAAAAGTACCCTCTTATCTCTAGCCCAGTAGCATCTGACATACACCTTGGTACCACAGAGCTTAATGTCACCAAGAAAGATTACTAGGCAGGCTTCAGGCTCTGAGGTATAAGGGACAAAGGGATAAAAAAACGAAGGAAATCTGCTGTTGGAACGCAGGTGTGTGTGTGTGTGTGTGTTTGTGTATGTGTGTCCAATAGGCATTTTTGCTTTACAAGTATTCTAAAACAGACCCAGCGTGTTTAATCCCAGCACTCGGGAGGCAGAGGCAGGAGGATCTCTGTGAGTTCAAGGCCAGCCTGGTCTACATGGTGAATTCCAGGACAACTGGGACTACAGGGAGACCCTGTCTCAAAAAGACCAAAAAAAAAAAAAAAGTATTCTAAAATAACAATCTAATTCACTGACCAAAAGTTTTTCTGAGTGCAGGAACTCTAATTACTAGTTTAAAAAAGTTCTCACGAGAAGGCCAGGTGTGGTAGTAGAGGATTTTCATCCCAGCACTCGGGAGGCAGGATGTCTGTGAGATGGAGGCCAGCCTGGTCTACGTAGCACCAGGTCAGCTGGGGCTACAGGAAGCCCCTGTCTCAGAAAACAACAGAAAGTCCTCATGAGGTACAGAAGTTGCTCAGACAGCCGTACAGTGGCCACGGGGTCTCTCTCCCAAACCCTTCAGGCTGAAGTGCAGCTACTCTGGCTGTCTCCCCAGCCAATCAAAGTTCACTCCCATGCTGCTTATCTCAAGTGCCTGTGGTCTTTGTCCTTTCACCTGCTGGCTAATCTCTACACCTGGTTTCCATGCTACAAAGTCTACAGGGGCAGGAGCTGAGCTCTGGGCAGTCGTACTCCACATGCCCACTGGGGCAGGTATAGGCCACACATCAGAATGGTGTGCAGAAGCTGGTGAAGCCTCCTACAGGGAGATCACCGAGATGAAACGGTGAGAAAGCTCTGATAACCACCAGCATGTCTATGTCCAACTGAACACTGTACCTAAGGGTTTTCTGAACATTTCTTGCTGTGGATCACACATCTGCATGGTAGAGAGGCAAAAAGGGAAAGCCTGGACAGGCTAGGGGCAGGGAACAGAACTAGTCTTAACAGGCTTACAAGATGGCTCAGTGGGTAAAGGAGCTTGCTGTCAAACCTGATAATCTGAGTTTGATCTTTGAGACCCACATGGTTGAAGGAGAAAATCAACCCCTGAAAGTTATCTGCCTACCTCCACACAGCAGGCATTCTACCAATTAACAATAAAGAAATGTAATAAAAAATTTAAAATACAAGAAAAATTATGACAAGGTTTAAAAAGTCAAACCCTGTAGGGATAGAGAATTTCTGCTTTCCTATGAGGCCTGGTAATGAAGGAGCTGGAGAGAAGGTTCAAAACTTATCTTCAACTTTCACCCTGGACAGTCACCAATTCATAAGAAAATGGGGTCATATCATCAAGGATCAGTAGTTTTCCACATTGTTTATTCCACCTTCCTGCCTCTCCACACCACCACACCCCAGAACTTGAGATTAAATCCAAATTATCTCCCATACTAGGTAAATAGTCTAACATTTCTAGCTTTTTACTTTGTTCTAGAGACAAGAGTATCACTCTGCGGCCTAGGCTGGGCTCAAACTGGAAACCCTTCTACCTCAACCTCTTGACTATTAGGATTCCAAGTATCACTGCACCAGCTTTAGTTACATTTTAAACTTTAATTTTAAAAATATCTTTGTTTATTGCTGAAGAAAACCCCACTGTGCTAGATAGCTTGGGAGCCTCAGTTGGGGAATTGCCTCTATTGGACTGGCCTGTGGCCATGTCTGTGGGGTATTTTCTTGATTGTTGAGTGATGTGGGAGGGCCCAGCCCACTGTGTGTGGTGCCACCCCTGGGCAGGTGGGCCTGTGTTGCGTAAGAAAGCAGGCTGAGCAGGGGCCAGGGGAACAAACCAGTAAGCAGCGTTCCTCGATGGCCCCTGCTCCAGATTCCTGCCCTGAGTTCCTACCTTGGGCTCCCTGATGAACTGTGACCTGGGAGATAAAAGCTGAACAAACCCTTTCCAACCCAAGTAGGTAGTGGTCAGAGTGTTTTATCACAGCAATGAAGAAAAAAACCAAGACGCCCACTATGTACCTATGCCATATTGTCTTCACTCATCGGCTGACAGGCACCCAGGCTGACTCCTTATCTTGGCTAATGTTACTAGCGCTGCAGTAAATATGAGTGTTCATAGCTCTGTCACATGCTGACTTGAGCTCCTTTGGATACAGACTCAGGGATGGCTGAATCATGGCCATTCTAGCTTTGAGGAACTGCCATACTGACGTCCAAAATGGCTACACTAGTTTTATACTCCCACTGAAGTTTCTTCCCCAGCCTCCCACTGGTTCCTGTTTTCTTGCTGACTGCTGTTCTGTCTGGGATGAGGTAGAATCGTTAACACATAAACTTTAGTTTTCTGACCACTGGACTACCAAATGAATCAAAGAAGACTCAGATGACATTCTTGGTATTTTCTTGTATTTTGCTTCCTTTCTACGAGAACAAGAAACTGAGCTACTCGATGAGGCCTGACACACCTGAAGCTTGGTCCTGAGACCTTCCAAGGCTTGTTGGAAAGTTCATCAGCCTGTGCTAAAGTCTTCCTTCAGCTATCCAGATAAAAATGTCATAAACACATCACCTTTGAACCTTTGAATCCAGCACTCAGAGACAGCCTACATTTAGACACAGTAAAGCTTGTATGCCTATATTCTACACAGCTGATTCTTTTGAGAACCTACCAAACTGTGCCCATGCTCTAAGCATCAGCACTCAGACCACACCATTAGGTACTTTCATTGAGGCCTCTCGGTTTGTAACCAGGAAAGGAGGACAGTGCCAGTAGGCAGGCTGGCTGGCTGGCAGGCTGGGAAAACACTTGAGCTACACACCTTGTTTCAAAATTACATCTTTTATTTTCTTCAATTGACAACTATTCCTCATCATCTTCATAAAGACTTCTTAATGCAGAAGCCCAGTGAAAATCAATTTCTACAGGTTTAAGATTTGGCTTCAAACAAGAGTTGTAGCCATTGAATCAGGACAGACAACAGGGAGCAGTTAGTGTACACTGTCCCACGGCCTCAGCAACAGGGAGCAGTTACTGTACACTGTCCCACAGCCTTAGCAACAGGGAGCAGTTAGTGTACACTGTCCCACGGCCTCAGCAACAGGGAGCAGTTACTGTACACTGTCCCACAGCCTTAGCAACAGGGAGCAGTTAGTGTACACTGTCCCACGGCCTCAGCAACAGGGAGCAGTTACTGTACACTGTCCCACAGCCTTAGCAACAGGGAGCAGTTAGTGTACACTGTCCCATAGCCTCATCAGCAGGTTTTCAAGACTGTTTTTCACTGTGCCACCATCACTTTTTTTTTTGTACTTGTTGAACTAAGAGGGCTAGAAATCATCAGGAGCAATGGAGACGTGCACACGTATCACACACAGATACAACATGTAATGGAGAGTGCACACGTATCACACACAGACACAGCATATATTTCACATTATCCTGATGGTATACACACTAACAGCAGTTCAGACTAACTGATGTCACTGAAGCACAACATCATCTCTGACTGCCTGGCTCAGGATGTTGTGTGGAGCTTTTCAGAATCTTCTGGGGTTTTCAGGGTTAAAATGTCCCACAGAGCCCTCAATGTGAATGGTCTTGTTTCCTCCCATTATTCTGACCCCCGTTTTGTCCTGTTTGCACTGTGCCGTGAACCTGGTGTTAAATGGATCCACCTGCCTTCCACGGGCTGACATTTCTCCTTTTACACCTGTAGCCACAGTTCCACACAGCCCATGCTACCCAGAACACCTTCTCCTGGCTTTGAAACTAACTGGCCTCACCCAGGTTCCAAAGGTGCTGACCTCCCTGTGTCTGAAGTTATGTAAAGTAGCTTCCTGCCATCTATCTACTTGTCAGCTACTGACCACTCTTACCACTGCCTCGATGGTCTACATCTTACCTAATCGGGCTGTTAAGTTCCTCAAAAACGAACACTGTATGTGATACGTGATAGTATTTGGTAGAATTATTATCTAATACAATCTCTGAGGAATTAAGATGGAGTTATGAATATATAGTTTAAAATTTTAAGTTATTGATTATCTGAAATTCTAGTATTATAGGTTTCTGGAATTTTGGCATTAGAGCATAAATAAAACCAGTCTTAAATTAGAACTATGCTCCCCCCCATTTAACAAAAAAGATTTACACAAGATACATAGGCAGAGCACATGCACAAAGAGCTCTAAGTACTTGTTAGATAAATGAGTTTCTGCACTGAAATTCTAAACACTGCTGCTAATGCCGCCAGAGACACACAAGGGGTTTTGCTTTTGGCCCAGGGACACAAACAGAGATGAAGGGGAACTTGTGCTGGCAGCATGGCTCCCAGGGTAGTCTGTCCCCCTCTGTGTCCCTGTGTCCCCATGCTGTCTCCCAGGAGATGGAGGGATGAGGTTTAGGATCCATATACTCACCACCATGTTGTAAGCATCAGGAACTTCAGTTTCAAACTGAAATTTTCCACCTTGGTAGTAACCCTCATCTATTAAAAAACACAAAACAAAACAAAACAATCTTTAAATAAAAAAAAAGAAACAAAAAGCAAACACTATGTTAGAATATGGCAAACACAAAATTAAGCGGTCAAAACCAGGACCACAGAGTTCCTCGGTTCCTTCGCCATAGCCACGCACTGGGGCAGCCCTGACCTGTTTTACACATATCGCTGCCAGCCCACTGCCTGGCTCCATGGGCCAATGTGCCCTCAGGAAAGGTCAGGGTTATCCTTCAGGAAGACTGCCTGTTTTCAGGGGACTATGCAGTTAGTATGCCCCCCTCTTAACTCATCTTCTGCCTTGAGTGAGTTACTTTTCCATGCCTTGAGACAGAGTCTCATGTAGTAGGCTGAACTCAAAATAGCTACGTAGCCAAGGTAGGTTTTGACTTCATTATCCTCTGCTCTTTTTTTTTGGTCTTTTTGAGACAGGGTCTCCCTGTAGCCCCAGCTGTCCTGGAACTCACTATGTAGACCAGGCTGGCCTTGAACTCACAGAGATCCGCCCACCCCTGCCTCCGAGTGCTGGGATTAAAGGCGTGTGCCACCATGCCCCGCTGATCCTCTGCTCTCTTAAGTGGCCACAACTCGTGGGTCTTCCAGGATGCTTCTGAGGTCTCCAACTTTGTCCTGTCTTTGTGAATTACATCATTACTTGTCTGCTGCTGGACTCCCTATGAAGATGTCACTCAAGTTGATGAGTGCTGACTGCTGTTTTCCCTGCAAATGACTTCCAGTCACTCAGCATATACATCCCTGGCACCCTCCCCCTGCCTAGTGGTTCAGCGGTCAGGGGACACAGTGGGCAACTGGGCAGAAATAATCACTGCCTCAGCAAGTGCCTTCAGAAAAGAGGCTCTCGGGAAATGAGAGCTTGTAAGAACACAAGAGGATGTCCAGGCCTCCCAGGTCCACAGTCCCTCTTGCTTCACTGGACCAACCAGGGTAAGGAAAGGGTTAAAAGTGCTGCTGCCAGCAGAGGGTGCTGCCGTGTTACTGAGGTTTTCCCAGACATAACAGGTGACTCTCAACTTCCAATTGTGGCACAAAGGAGCAGTATCTTGAAGATGAAGGTCCAAGGGAACAAATCTGCAACACTGAAACTTCCTGCTTCAACAGCAGCAGGTCATTAGCACCAAACAAACCACCAATAGAAGCAGGCTTCTTTAAGAACTTGAGACGCATCTGCCTGTTACATTGCCCAACAGTTACAGAGGCCATTCCCTGATTGCTAGTGTTCATACTGTTTGCCAATCTGGTACAAGTACTTTTTGCCCTTTATTTTATACCCATTAGCTACATACTAGCCAGGCTGAAATATTTTAGGTTATTCATCGTTTGTATCTTGTCCCCAAGAACCAAATGGTCAAGTCCTCTGACTCTTGTAAGTGAGCGTCTGTTTTATTGTTACTGATGCAAAGACCTGTTAAATTAGCCTTGCTTTTTTTTTTTTTTCTTCTGTCTTTTTGAGGCACTTGGTATGTAGACCAGGCTGGCCTTGAACTCACAGAGATTCACCTGCCTCTGCCTCCCGAGTGCTGGGACTAAAGGTGTGCACCACCTCGCCTGGCTTAGCCTTGTTTTTTAAAACAAAGTTTATTTTTATTTACAAGAATATGTATGTCACATGTATGGGTACCCACAGAGGCCTGAAGAAAGTGCTGGATCCCTTAAAGCTAGCATTACAAGCAGTTGTGGGACTCCTGAAGTGAGTGCTTAGAACCGAACTCAGGTCCTCTGGAAGGACAGCTAGCACTCTTGACTGCTCAGTAATCTCTCCAGTCCACCTCTGTCTCGTTATAAACAATTTTCCTTCTGGTTGTCCATCTTGGTTTTGTTGGCTCTGTTGCCAGTTTCCCATTTTTAAGAAGCAGTTTTATCTCATGGGTTCTGTCTCATGATCAGTGTTAGATGACGCCCTTCTATGAAGCCTCCTGGTTTGCAGCTTCACACTCTGCATTAACAAATTCACTCATTTCAGAGAACGATGGTCCTTTGTTTTTCTTTCTTTTTTAAAAAAAAATATTTTATTGGGGCTGGAGAGATGGCTCAGCGGTTAAGAACAC